ATAGAAAAATGCAAATGATTGTTATTTGAAATGCGGTGGGAATGGTATGCACGTGGTCACGTGATTGAGATAATTGAAACGTGTGCCAAAGCATTGCTGGTGTTTCGGTGACGAAAAGGATGCGAATCGATAAGATCGAAAGAAGAAACATGGACAACAAGGTCAGCCAATTCGTATCTTTTTTCTTTCTCCTTCTCTCTCTTTCTCTCCCTTTCTCTTTCGATATCCCTCTCTACTCGATATCATCAGTGTAAGCACTTTGACTAAGCCAAAAGAAATTACGTAAACGGAATATTCATATAAAAAAAGTCAAAGGCGCGTCAACATTGCGGTGGACGATATCTCATATATATATATATATATATATATATAATAATATCCAATAACTTGCAAGTTTGCCGAGTGCAAACTCATTTTACGTAATCGTCTATCCATTCTTGAAAACGTGCATGATTTTGATGGAAATCAACTGGTTCGAGATTGGCGCGCTCCTAGGGAATTTTAATTGGAATCATGGAGGAAGTAATGGAGGAAAATGGAATTCAAGTTCGATTGCGTAATTATCATTTAAGATGCGATGTTTATACGAGTATAATTATAATAATTAAAATTCAATGTGACAGTTTATATTAGATATATTTGATGATTTTTATCTGTGAATTTCTCGCAGGAACGTTTATTTCATTTTTGAAGAAGATGCGAAAAATGAAAAAGCGATATATATACATAATCGACAACCGATTGGAGGAATCGAGAGACATGCGACCAACGTGCGGTTTGACCTTAACGGCCAAATGGATAACGTGGATCGAATCCGATTCGAAAGAATCGAGGCGTATTGGAATGCGTTTGTACCAATTTTCCCTAGATTACCGGGGGTCACTTGCGTGTTTGCAAGGATCGCTAACCTATTGAGTTATACTACGACCAACTGGATCGAGTTGCATTTCGCGAATTTATTATTGATATAAGTGCAATTTGCAATTTGAACGAAAATTACCACCAAACTTGCAATTTTTCGAATTTACTATCTATTTGAAAAAAAAGAGAGAGAAATTTATAAAGATATTTTTTTCGAAAAACTATATTCATAAAGGGAATATATTTAAAAATTTTCCATTCGATAATTTGTTAAATATTTATCGTCGTATTTTGTCATCTTAATTATCAAGATGAAAATCAACGTATCACATGTCATTACCTCTCAAAAAAAAAAAGAAAGAAAATATATGCAAAGGTAATCCAACCATAAAGGTAAAGCAAAACGTGAGCGAAGAGAAAAGAGGTAATAATCGTATGCAAATAGGAAGTGTTGTATACTAGCATCATCACTCGCGGACGGAATACTAAATACAAAAGACGCTGTGTAGAAAGAGCGTTAATTTATTCCATATTCGATATTTTTTTTCGAATTCTTAGCTCCGACACGCGAAATCGTGTTTCTAATTTTTTAAAATATATCAAAAATAAGATATCCTATTTTTTAAAATGTTAAAAATAAGATAAAATAAAAAAATCTTCTCTTTAAAATTCTCTTTCGTAACTTACGATTAAAAACTTACGATAAAAGAAAAAAAAAAAANATAAAATAAAAAAATCTTCTCTTTAAAATTCTCTTTCATAACTTACGATTAAAAACTTACGATAAAAGAAAAAAAAAAAAGAGAAGAAGAAAAAGGAATGAAGGATTTCATTGAAAACAGTAGAATGAAAAAAAAAACAAGATAGAAAAAATTAAAAAAAAAAATAAAAAGATAAAAGCCAATGTAATCAATATAAATATTGAATATAAGAAATATCAAGGCCTAAAGGATTTCACGAAAATTCGCGCGATTTTCTTTAATATTCAAAGGCGATACGAGCACAAGGAAACGGAACCTATGCAAACAAGCTTCAAGGACGAATGTACATGTGTCGTCGACGACCACCAATCGCCGAAAACTTATCGACATTCCGCCTGTCTATACGATACACGTAGTCAACAGTCAACATACCGAACGTGCATGTTTCCCTTATTTTTTGTCCGCCTACATAAGATTATGTCACTGTTTCCATTCTGTTTGGAATCCTTTTTATATATGTATCCCTCTATTTGAAATGTTTACTACATTTGCAGGAAAAAGTTTGGAGAAATTTAAATATCGATGTATAATTCTTTTTAATACTTTACGACATTGTACACGATAAAATATACAATGATGCATTTAAAAAAAAGAATATAAAATTCAAATAATAAAACTCAAAGAGAATCTACGATATAGATTTTGATAAGATATCATTATTATACGATACTTAATATAATAAAAATGATTTTTAAAAACTAGGATATAATAAAATTTAGAATAAAATAGATCGAATTATTTTATTAATAATAGATAAATCACAAGTTCACAATTTGATCGCAAAATAGTCAAGCAATCACAATAGTCTCGTCGGTACTACAATCTTATTTAGATTTTGTAACGTGAGACATGTGATAAATATGGCAGGAAACATTGAAACAATATCAATCATAGATTTATCAATAATTAAGATTAACGTTATAATTATTAATGGAAAGAAATTTATTTTGATAAATTTATGATATTGCAAATGAATTTTTTAATAGAAAAATAAATAAAAACAAAAACGAAGTGTTTATTTATGGCGAGAAAAAAAATGATTTTTTCAAATTCTGATTTTAGAAACTAAAGAAATGTTTTTCTAATAATTATTTCTAATAATAATGAATAATCTATTAACAATAAATATTTCATTAATATAACAAATAAATCATATTTGATTGAAAGAATCAATTTACATTATTTATATTTATAATAATGATAATATATTCCGATAAAAATAATTCGAAATCATAATATGATTATTTGTTATCAATGACTAATATGTAATAAAACAAAATTAATAATAGATAAATAAATAATGAAAGTAAAAATACAGCAATTGCAATTCCGTTAACAAAAAACTTGCAAAAAAATCGCGAGTCTTTTAATTTCCTCGTGAAACAATTTTTTCTGAGTATTATTTATCAGGAAACGCAGGAATCAATGTTCATAAAAATATTCAAATAATTAATAATCGTTTCAAGAAATTTCAATAGAAATCTGAAATTAAACATAACAAATGAAGAAACTTACTGTCGAATGGATTTTAACAAATCTATTTTCATGGAAACAAAAGAAATTTTCAAATGACGCGATTAAAATTTTCGATAATAAAAATTTAATAAAATATCTAAACGATTATTATAATGGCTAAATGATTCAATAAATTAGTCAACTGATAGTTGATTCGAGAATCAATAAATGAAATTCCAAAGATATCGAGAAATATGGTGGATTTCATAAGGAGATATTTTTCGGAAAAAAGTTATAGTAATTGAATGAAAATTTATTTAAATGTGAATTCAATTATCACAAATCATATCTTTCAAATTTTCCATTGATAAAGATTATATTATTTGCTCAACCATTTTACCCTACACAATAATCTAAAACATTTAAGTTTTTAATATCTCTTCAATAAATCAAAAAAATTTTTTAAACATATCGCAAACCTTATAAAATGCATGAAATTGCAAATTAATTTTAAATAAATATAATTTCACACATCCATTATCTAAATCTTGTTCTTAATTGATCACACATATGTGTGATCCATTCTAACAAATCGGAAATACTTGGTTTATGTTTCGCGCACGGTATCGCGCACTTTCTAACGCAACAATAACATAAGTATTAAAACTAAACAATATTTTTCTACTTGTCTCCACTTTTAAAAAATTACGAATATCCATAAAATTTTCTTTATGAATATTTGATATATAAATAATAGATTGTCATTCTTTTCAATATATTATCGATAACTATTCCTATAATATGTAGATATAAATCTAAATTATATATACTTACTATATGGAGGTTTCTCTGTTTCCCAGATGAGTGTACCACGATGAAAGTAGACTCTGCACCGTTTCTTTTTCACCACGAATGTGTTCAGGAGCACTGTCCTGGAAGATTGGTCTGAAATCTCCTGCATCATATTGACGGCTGACTTTGGCTGCCTTTCCAAAGGTAGCTCTTTCAACGAAGAAATTGTACAAATGTCATTTCCACACCGATCGATTTATAATATACAAAATAATTAATACGAAATCAGAAACAACTCTCACGAAACAAATAATCGAAATACACAACGACCTTGCTTGCTCGTTAGCTCGAGCACAACTGCGGCGCACGATCGACTTACTGTGAATCGTGTCAAACCGTAAATGTTCGGCTTTTATGATGGATAATGCCTTCAATCGGACATTTCTCTAACTACTAATACAAAACTCACTTGATCATTAATTTTAATTAAAAATAAAATACAATATAGATTTAATATGCAATATATTTTATTATTTGGTTTAAAATATAAATGAAATATAAGAAGAACTTGATTATTCGATTCATTTTTGATTAATATTTTATTTTTTAATCAAATTTGATATATAATTTAATATAATTTAATAAAATCACATAAAATAATAACATATTCTAAAATATACTTTATTTAATTTTATATTAAAATTTTAATCATTATTCATATTATAATCCTATTTTATACCGAATCAGTAATATTGAAACATGGAGTAACACCATCTATCGGATGGTTAATTTTATCATATAAGGATAATATAGATACCTGACAACTAAAATTGTCTCTACATTCTGATTTTAACGCGCTAAAAATATCTCTGCATGAACGTAACTCGTTACAAAAGATCATTAATAATTCTATTTTTTTATTTAAAGCGAGTTTTTACTTTATTTTTCTTACATAATATTTTGAATAGAATATCCTATGTTATTTAGATATGATGTAAATCATATCTGGATCTGGATAATTTTATTAGCAATTTATTATTGTTGATGCTTGGTTAGGGTTCAAGAATATATGATTCTTCCCTGAATACGACAAACGCGTGGCGACATGACATTTTGTTGGTGACGCGACAACTTTCTGATATCGAACCATATCTACTAAACAAGTATACATTGTTCTATATTTTGCAGAATACTATCTCAGTTATTGTTTGACGTTTGGTGTTTCAGAAAATCAATCTTAAAGTACAAAAAAGAAAGAGTGAAAGTGACATAAATTGAAAATTGTTGTAGACATCGCATGTTCGCGAACTTGGAATGACAAAGACATCGTGATACGGACTGTACATCAAGAGACATAAAATTTTATGAATTTGAAGTTGTATGGTTACAACATTTGTGTAGAATTCTAAAAAACAATAACTCATTGATTGAAAAAATAATTTTTTATTTTTTTTTTTAATTTAAAGTTAAACATATTTTTATTTTAATAAAGGTTACTTTTTTTTAAGTAATAAAATATTACTTCATTACAAAAATAACGTATATAGAAAAACTATGGATGAAACTAGAAATTACATAAATTTAGTGCTAACAGTTAAAAAATATCCAGCGTTATATGATCTCAGTTGCAATGATTACCATAACAAAGTTGTTCGAAATAAAATGTGGAGAGCAGTGGCGCAGGAAGTAAACGCTTCTGGTAAGAATTTTTCAAAGACAAATTCTTATGAAAATTCGGTCGTATGTTTAAATTCGGATGTTTTCTTCATAGCCGCAGAATGTAAAGAAAAATGGAAAAATCTTCGTGCCAGTTTCAGCAGACATTTAAGAAATCAAAGTACGGCAAATTCAAAATCGAAAAAACCGTATTACATGGCAGATTACATGGATTTTTTACTTCCTTATAGCAAACTTCGTAGGTAACTAACATAGAAAATATAGAGAAATTAGTAATAATTTACTAAGTGAAGATTATTATATTCTTTGTTTTTTTTTTTTTTTTTTTTTTTCTATTATTTTTAGGGCGGATGAAAGTTTGAACGAAGAAGGACCAATTGCACAAGAGAATTGGAATGAAGAGGAGACCACTTCCGATACGTCCTCTAATTATCAGAAATTAAATAAATCCGATCAAAAGATACCGGAATCAGAAAGAGATGGAGATACGAGAAACGAAGAGTATATGTTTTCGAGAAGTAAAGCAATCAGACATGCAGAAGATAGACTATTGTCACATAGATGCTCAGATAATTGTATTCTCACCAATAGGCGAGATCTTGACGAATCAATCAACGATGCAGACTTGTTGTTCTTTAAAAGTTTACTTCCAGATATGCAGCAGATGACAAGCCAAGAAAAAAGAAGCTTTAAAATATCTGTATTGGGTTTGATCGATAAAATATTAAACGAAAAAGAATCGGCAATGTCAGTCGAAAATGATATTTCTTGTTCAATAGTAAAAAATCAACAAGATGAAAGAACAGATGAATTTTAAAATTTTTATAAACAAAAAGTTTATAATAATACAAATAAATTTAGAATATTGTAATAATATAGATTGATTAAAGCATGTTTAACAAAATAAAATATATTAAAATTTGAGAAAAATGTTATATTTAAAAATAATTTATGAATTATAATAATAATAGATTATCAAAAAATATATATATAGCGAAATATATTCCCATTTCCATAATTTATTTTTATTATTTCGTAAGTTTGTAAAAGATTTTGAATAAAAATAAACAAAAAATTAATTGATCAAACATTGTATCAATAGAGTTGAGAACCACTGAATAATGCTGATTGGTGAGACGAAACAACGCGGCATCTTCGAGTCAACGGAAGAAATTAATGAAAATTGAACATACGTATTGCGCCAAAAGATTCGGTTATTTCCGGATAATATACGAAAACAACCGAATTCAATAGGAATATATTTGAATGTATTATATATACAATATATGAATGAATGCATGATTCGTACAAATAAATTGCTTTCAACAAATCCTATTTTGCAAGAGATTCTATGAAAAAATTAGCAATTTAAGAAAATAGATTAATGTAAGCTGGAATTTTCATTTATTGAATAGTGAATATTCTAATTTATTATATTTTTTAATTATTTTTAAACATGTAAAAATGTATTTATAATTTTTTATCAAAATAAAAAGTGATGATGTACATATATATATTGGTATATGTTAATTTTTATGATAAAAGTACAAAAAATTTTTTTGAACATTATTATAATTTTATTTTTTTAAAATCCCGCCATTGTTTCAATTGAATATGAAAGAATTTTAAAACAGATTGTACTTTCATTGGCGTATATCTAAATTTTTATTATTATAAATTTTAATCTAAAAAGTTTTATTTTAAATAATAAATTCAAGATCAATTATAATAGAAGAATAACATATTCAAAAATATCCAAGTATCAAATAAAAAATAAATATAACGTTTTAAAGATTTTTTGACTGATATAACAATAAAATTTTAAATTTTTTATAAAAAACATTTGCTAATCATTATATAGATATAAAAATTAATACTTATTAATCTAAATTCTTTTCTCAATTACTCTATATTATAATCTCAACGCGCTTAGAAACAAATTTTCCACTTGTGATTTGAACTTATCAAGAGCAAAGTATATACACGTCACGAAGGCACACTTGTCGCATCAGTTCGTAACACGATAAAATTCGGCATGTGAATAAACACGGGTGAAATGTCATTATAAGGACGTACCTGGAAACTAAGTGAGAAGTGCGCAGACGTGAATTCGAAAAGGCCAATCAAAATGCAGCAATGCCATGGTAGGGACATTGGGGGGGCTCTTGGTGGCCTTGCGCGTTCTTCCGATTCCGTGAATGCTGGAGGCGCGTCCATTTTGTTAGCAAGTACGATCCCGGTTAGTCGACGCCGGTGCAAAGTATAATTCTCGTTTGCGACGAGTTCGTGTTACGAGTAGTAAGGGTTACGAAGACCAGTGGCTGTCTGTCGGCGGCGTTCGTAGATTTGTGTCTACGTAACGTGAGCACAGAGAGCGCAGCTGGCAAGTGTGAGAACCTACTTGTAGATATCGCGCAAGAATCAGAGAAGCCGTTGGAAGAGAGTCGTTGTACAGGGCCGCGAAACACGTCGCGTACCCGGTTCGTCGGTAGTTTAGTTTTAACAAGATGGCGGAACTACAGGGAACCCCGGTTGCTCAAGACGCCCTGTCCGTAGCTCAGTTAGAGCTCGGTGGAAATCCGAACGCCTTGGCTTTGCGTAGGCCATTTGATCCTGTGGCACATGATCTCGATGCGACCTTCCGCCTTACGCGGTTCGCCGACCTAAAAGGATGAGGGTGTAAAGTCCCTCAGGAGGTTCTTGGGAAACTCCTCGAGGGACTACAGGCCGACGATGGTAGCGCACAAGATCATGAACATGCCCATTTTATGCACATGGCCATTCCACGCATCGGTGAGTAGATTGCTTTTATTGCGCGCGTGTACGCCATTCTGTGCCGACATGTTTGATTTTATGCCGCGTCTTAGCTTCGCGGTTTTTACATATTTGTGATTATTACAAGTTGCGCAAATATAAGTGATTGAATATTCTTATTTCTATTATAAAATTATTTTTTAAATTATTTGTCGTTTATTTTTATTCAAAAGAAAAACTATATTATGACAAATTGTAACAGTGTAGTTATGGAAATTTTTCCCGGCTAAAATTTTCCATATCTTGTGTTACTTAATAATAATAATAATTAAATATTATTCATTATGTATATAGTATAATTATAAGATATTTATATTTATTATGAGAATTTTGACTGTAAACGAGCATTTTTATTAGAAAACATAGGGCACAAATATTGCAATAGGCAGCCCTATCATGTCAGCAGCCATGTTATCGTCTCCCGCCTGTTTTCTCCCACGCCACCGGAAATACAAATGTTCTCAACTTGCATCCGAATAATTATATATCTACAAAAAAATAATATTACAATTATTAAATATCAATATTTAAATAAATTTTATTTGAATAAATTTTTTACAAATGTTAAAATGTTGGAGAAAAATATATCATATAAATATATAATATATAAAAAATATATATATTTATAATATATATATATTTTTTAATTGAATATATAAACATTAAACAATTTATATTTTTTATTTTAGGCATTGGTATGGATTCCTCCGTGACTCCACTGAGACATGGAGGGCTTAGTTTGGTACAAACAACAGATTTCTTTTATCCATTAGTTGATGATCCTTATATGATGGGTAAGAATAATATTTCAATAATATCATATAATTTTATCAATTGTATTTCTTATTTTATATATATGCATTTACATAATATATATATGCATTACATCATAAATTTAAATATTAAAATTCTTTTTTTTTTTTATTATGAATAAAATTTGTTTATTTTATGACATTTTGTTTGACCACTGTTATTGGAGTACTTTTACAGGTAAAATTGCATGTGCAAATGTTATCAGTGATCTATATGCTATGGGTGTTACTGAATGTGATAATATGCTGATGCTATTGGGAGTCAGTACAAAAATGACTGAAAAGGAACGAGATGTTGTTGTTCCTTTGATTATGAGAGGATTCAAGGATTCTGCTCTGGAAGCTGGCACAACAGTAACAGGTGGTCAAACAGTTGTTAATCCTTGGTGTACAATAGGTGGAGTGGCTTCTACTGTTTGTCAACCAAATGAATACATTGTGTATGTATCTTAGAATAAATGATATATATAATTGTATTATTTCTCTGTTAATAATAATTATTTATAGTCCAGATAATGCAGTAGTAGGTGATGTTCTTGTTCTGACAAAACCACTTGGAACTCAAGTTGCTGTGAATGCTCATCAATGGTTAGATCAACCAGATCGTTGGAACAGAATCAAACTTGTAGTCAGTGAAGATGATGTAAGGAAAGCTTATCAAAGAGCAATGGATAGCATGGCTAGGCTTAACAGAATAGGTATATATTATTGTGTTATTAAATTATATTATATATTATAAAAATCGAAAGATAAAAAAATAAAATAATGATCTATTTTTTAATTCCATAGCGGCAAGATTAATGCATAAATATAATGCACATGGAGCAACAGATGTAACAGGCTTTGGCCTTTTAGGACACGCACAAAATCTGGCTAAACATCAAAAGAATGAAGTTTCCTTTGTTATTCATAATTTACCTGTTATTGCTAAAATGGCAGCTGTAGCAAAAGCGTGCGGTAATATGTTTCAACTTTTGCAAGGTCATTCGGCGGAAACCAGTGGTGGATTGCTCATTTGTCTGCCTAGGGAACAGGTTTGTAATCAATTCTTTGTTTTTTGATCAAATCCTGCTAATACAGTAGAATATATTATTCATCATTATATATTCTAAAGAATGGCAGGAAGAATAATAGAGATTTCCATACTGATTTGCTATTATAGCGTTTTAGTGCCGTCGACTCTCTTACATTTTTTTCTTTTTTTTAATTATGTTTTTATTTAATAAATTATTTATTTAATAAATTAATTGTTATCAATCGAATTTTGATTATGATTTATATAAATAATTTCAGGCTGCTGCATATTGTAAGGATATCGAAAAACAAGAAGGATATCAAGCATGGATTATTGGTATTGTGGAAAAAGGAAATCGTACAGCCAGAATAATTGATAAACCACGAGTAATAGAAGTGCCAGCTAAAGAAAAAGATGGAGAGCTTTGGTAAAAGATTAAGGATGTTGACGAAACATTTTTTTTATTTACCTTCATATATTTAGAAAAAAACCACATGCAACACAGAAAACACGCATTTACATAGATCAATATTACCATACCAGATACAAAGCACTTAATGTGCATCATTATTACGGGACAAACAAATTTTCAATTTTTCATTGGATAAAAATTTGATATACTCGTAATAATTTTGATTATATTTTCTATCCTATGGGTTTTAAGAAAGAGATATAATAATAACGACTTATACTTATGTGTTATCTTTATTGAAGTTGGATCCTAAGTTTTATCTTAGGAAAGTAACGTTTCTCTTTTTTTCTTGTTCTTTTTTTGTCGAAAGTTAGCAGTGCTCTATAATAAAACATTTATAAAATGTTCATAATAGTCTTTCGCGACAATTATGAACATTTATTCGAAATAATTTGATAAAAAAGAAATATGAGGAAGCAAAGAGAAATAAAGAACATAAAGAGTTTAGGTATAGTTTCTTTTTTTTTTTTTTTTTTTTTTTTTTTTAAAGATTTAAGACTTAATACTAAGTACTAAGTAATAGCCTCAGGTAGCACTAGGCTCAGGCTAAGCTTCAACTACATTTGATCAAACTTGCAATATGTCAAGTGACATTTGGGTGCTTAGTGTTAATGAAGAATGTTAAGATACATATAAATGATAGTTCGTGATTACAAAGATCTATAAATATATTTTAAGGACATATACAATATCATACAAAAAGAAAAAAATGATTTTAACAATATATTTTACATCACTTTAATTCATGGAATAAAAAAAAAAATCATTTAAATTATAGTTATATAGATGCAAATTTGTAAACAGAGAGACATTACTATCCTTGTAGTACACAATGACAGGCTTTTAATGCCGAGATTTAAACGAGATTTCCACAATTTGTAATTTTGATCTACCTGTTACATAGAATGCGTAAGATGTCCAAATGAAAAAAAGGCCTTCTCTAGTTTTCTCGTTACATACGCTTTTGAAAATAATTATAAAAAAAAAATAAGGAATACAAGAAATCGAGCACAGGCCCTAATGTTGTATTACTTTTTCATATGAATAAAGTGCTACTTTGTCAATAAAAATTACATGTTGTTATTATCATCAAATTATTTTCAACAAATTTTAATTTTATTTTAATATATTTAAAAGAAATGTTTGATATCGTAATTCATTAATGCAAGATACGTGAAGAAAAATTCATATTGAGGATCTATATACATTTGCAAGGTAGCCAACAATCGAAGCAGAAAAAAACTAAACCCTTCCATTCATTGGATAATCAGTTATCTAACGATTCGGCAACTGGTCGCCATCACGGTTCATAGGTCACATTATAGATAGAGTATCACAATATGTATCAAAGAGTTATAATTGTCATTACATTCAAGTGTAAACCTTCGTCGAAGGAAAAAGTATAAAATAAAAGAATTCATTTAGATTTAACATATTTATTTGAAGTTTCTTAAAGTGACGATTTAATGGTAGCACTATCCACGTGGTGTGCCAAGGCTGCGGCTTTCAGGGCCGTGATATTAGGTGCCCCTGCTTCTGGTAAGGGCACCATGTCAGCTAGAATTGTTGAACAATTTAAATTAACTCATATATCAAGCGGCGATAAGTTAAGACTTCATATGAATAATAAAACTGGTATGTTTGAAACCATAAATTGTTATGTTTTTATATTATTGAATCATTTTATGAAATATAATGAAAAATATAATAAAATCAATCATTTTCATATCATTTGATCGAAAACTTTTGCATGCCATTTGTTTGTTAAAATAGATTTGTCCAAAATCGATTTTTTAGTTTTAAATACATATATATTGCTGATACATTTGTAATAGTATATGCATGTACTTTGCCTTGAAAATGATCGAAATGTTTATTTATTTCATAAAATAAAGTATGAAATATGTTTCTTTCTTTAATATTTCTTAACCAAATTAAAATTATCTTTATTTAATTTTACATGTAATATTTATGTTACTTGGATCCTCTAACAGTTACGTGACTGATTGAATGATTGAAACTGATTCATATTAACTGGTTGAATGAAAAGCATACTACTTATTTATAATCATTCATTTAAATATTTGGACTCGTACTCGGAATTGGATTGCAACATTTATTGCTAAATGATATAAATTTTCTATCCATGTTTTACTCGTTATTATAAATTAATGATATTGAAGTACAGAAAATTAATCTAATATATAAATATAAATATTCTTTATCATTCTAGTCGCGTTAATATAGATTTTTATTGGCTTAATTAATACAATACACATATTTATATATACTAATTTATTCAACATTTTTATTTTTATGTATAATTAAAAAATTTTTTTTTTAATTATATAAAATTAATTAAATACAATTATATACCATTTATGTTTTTATATAAAAACACCATTTTTTATTATGATAAGAGAAATATAACCTATCAATACAGTACAAAGTCCATTAATTATAATAAAGGTAAATAAATATAATTAAAAAACATAATCTGTTTTAATAATGTAGAATTGGGCAAAGCAGTCTCGAATTATGTACTTTCCGGTAAATTTGTTCCTGATGATATAATGATCTCAATGATAAACGAAGAAATCAAAGCGATCGGGAATCAAAATTGGTTATTAGACGGTAAGTAAGATATAGAAATTAAAATTTTTGTTTCATTTATTTAGATCATGAATGTGCGCGATAACCACACGTGTACAACTAAATTCGAATAAATAGTTGGCATTGATACAGGATTTCCAAGAACGTTAACGCAAGCGGAAAAGCTACAAAAAATACATCCAATTAATTTGGTTCTTTATCTGGATGTTCCCTTCGAAGTAATATTAAATCGTGTGAAAAATAGATGGGTTCATTTGCCTAGTGGAAGAGTATATAATATTGGATTTAATAGTCCCAAAATACCGGTAAGTTGACAATGAAACTTTTAATTGATATTAAAATGTATCGTTGGCAATATATCAATTGTTAAAATTTCAAAATTAAATTTTTTTTCAATTTAATAATCAAACAAGTTTTTCAGATGATTTTATTTCTGAAAGCTTAATTGTTTTGTTTGAATAATAAATTTTAGTTTAATTTTTAATAGGGTAAAGATGATGTAACTGGCGAACCTTTAAGTAAAAGGGACGATGATAAGATCGAAATTGTACAAAGAAGATTACAAGAATATTCAAATGCGACTAAACCAATTTTAACATTTTATAGTAATTTAGGATTGTTAAATACTTTTCGAGGTAATACTACCGATGAAATATGGCCGCATATTAAGAAAATCGTCACAAAATTTTTGTTACAATAGCAAATTGTTAGGATGCATTAATATTTTGTAAAAATGTATAATGAATTAATTTAAAATTGAATTAACTTAGATTATAGTGATCATATGCTTCCATTAATTTACGCACAAATATTGATGAATTCAGTAAATTTATACAAATTATGCAAAAAAATTTATTATATATTTTTCTGTAGTTTATATATATATATATATAAAATAATTTAATATCAAAAAATAATTTTATATCAATAAAGTACAAAATTTGTTAATTTTCATCTATAGTTTTTACTTATTTTATATAAGTTTAATTCAATTTTTTATATAGTCACTTAGTCAATTGTTATATAGTCAATTATAATTTATATAATAATAAACTTATAAATATCATACAAAAATCATACAAAAATCATTAACAAAATAATAAGTGGTAATGATTTATATGTATGTTTTACTTATGTTTTATAGATATCAATTATAAAATACTGTATATAAAATATTACAGTTTAATATAAAGGGATCAAAGCTGATTCGATAAAGATATTTCTTGAATTTATATATTGGAAATGATTTAAAATTGTATTAATTGTGATTATAAATAGGAAATAAAATTTGGGACACGATTTTCATAGCCTTTTTTTATATTTATTTTTAACTGTACCGATATAAGAATTTTAACAATTTTTAGTTGTGTACAGAGTTTAATATGAGTATAATATAGCTTATATATCATGCTCACATTTTCTTTTTATTTGAAAATTTAGTCAATCTTTTAATAATAACAATATTTTAATTAATGTTATATATAGTTGTTAATTACATTAATGTTTCTCTTTCATAACATAAAACGTTATGTAAAACGCAGTTGGAACTTAGTATAAGTTCGATATAATTTTCAAAGCCAAAAAATAAAAATATTAAATAAATAAATAACTTAGAATTATATAATATGAAAAAAAAGTTTAAATTATTTGAAACTTAAACATAAACTTAAACAACAAATAGTTAACATAACAACAGGTAGTTGAATTGTATAATGCGCGCTCATGCTTGCATATACGTACATTTTTATCTCAAGGACAAAACAAAATATTATTCATATTGCATTTTGCAAGAAATCTAATATTGCTGCGTTATAAAATAAGTTATATCAGGAACATTTCCGTAAGGAATTAAGAAATTTTTATAAAAATTACTCTTTATAGTAAAGTCGTCAACTTACGATCTACGCAAGTTCTAGACACGATCATCAATGAAAAGGAATAATAAATATCTTTTTGCGATAATTCTAGGTCATATACTAAATTAACATTCTAACGATTATTTAAAAGCATAACTTTTGAGATCAATAAACAAGATAAAAAAAATTGTGCAACAACACACTTGAATACAAAAGCCGCATTAAATTATGATCACAGAACAATGTATCGACGATAATGCTTATTTCAAATTTAAATTTGCATTATCACGAATAGAAAATATTCGATATATTAATTCATATCAGTCGTTCAACGAACATGTTGAGATCTATAGATCATATCGCGGCAAAAGTTCATATTAAGAAATTAATATTCAACTGTCTAATACGATACAACATTACTATCTATTAAAGTCATCAATTGGTTTTTTACCCTTGTACATATATGGACGAATGAACGGAGAATTCTGATTAATGATGATCATTAATGTTCTTCTCCAAAAACTATCCATGAATGTATTAAGTACGTGATATATCTTTTTCTTTTTTTTTTTCAATGATAAATATCTCATTGTACTAATTCAAATTCTTCGCATTCGTCAAGATCGTCATCGTACGTTCCATTACCTGTAAAAGAGGTAGTAGAAGGAATTATATTTTCTGCAATTTCGATTTTTTGATGGAGATCTTTCCCACTCCCTTCACAAAACAAAAACATTGGATAGTCGATTTTTTCATCTTCTGGTACCAAATACTGTAATATTAAAAATATATATAATTGGATTTCCAAATTATTTTATTTTAATATAATTCAATGAAGTTTATAAAAATGATTATATATACCGAAGGAGCAATTTCCATAAAATTTGTAAATTGTATTTTATTATGAAAATAAAATCCCACACAACAACTAGGATCCATTTTTGAAATTAACATTTTTCTTGGTGAAGTACAATGAAAACTTGTTAAAGAGAAATTATCTTTTAATACATCAACAGTTTCTTGACAATAATGTGGGTCTAGATTAATTAATTTATCTTCCTGGAAACCAATAAAATAAAGCGAATGCCGAGGTCGACCACCGATAACTCCAATACAGGTGTCTAATGTAAGTAAATGTGTTAAGCAAGATGTATAAACAGGATTTAATTTGTCAGCACCAAGCCTTAAAGGTACAAAAAGTATTAAAGATTTCCATTTGCCATCAGGTGTTTGACATACATTTTCTATATCTTGTAGATAAACTGTAAAACACAAAATATTAAAAATTAAATTAATATACGAAAAATATACGAAAAATTCCCGATTGAATAACTTTTATTTAAAATATAAACATTTTAGCTATTATATTACCTGCACAATCTTGAGCAACATAAACAGCCAAGTTATTAAATGCTGGATGTCGTTCTGCTGCATTCTCTACTGCTTGGCTTAAAAGATGAGCAACAGAGGATGGCCCATACCAATCACCTGCACGTTTTCCCCACAATGCACCCAAAGATACAAGTGTATGTATAGAAAATGGAGATGTACGCTCTGGTAAATCTCCAAATGATTTAATTATTAACCTGTGGTTATATTCATCTAATTTTTGTTGTTCTGTTTTTATTGGTTGATCTGGTTGCCACCGCCATTCTGTAGAGAAAATATATTATTTGTAAATAATATGTAAAAAAAATATAAAATATATGTAAAATATATATAATTAATATTTATTATACATATATATACAAAAATTATATTGCAATTTATGGGTAATAAATTATAAAAAAAAATAAGTGCCTCTTCCAAGAAAATGGCAGACTAATGCCTGTGCCAACATCATTTGGCCACTACGTAACATACATCCCCAACCACAATCAGTAGTGAATGTAGAACCATTTAATATAGGAAATTCTCTTCTATATGTTAACCAAAGACGCGATGTAAAATCTTTTTTAAATTCTTCTATACCATCTTCAAAACTAATAGCATCCATTGCTAGAGATATCTCACTTCCAGTGTCTAAAGTTTTATCTGCTTCAGAAGCCTTTTCTAAAAATTCTTCTGGTTTTTTACGATAAATTTTACCAAGCAAGCATACAGGAGATTCTTTTGAGAAATTTGGTTTTACTACCTTAATAGTCCAACCTTTAATGAAATTAAATCTAAATTATTTTCTTCAATGCAAATATATACATTTATTAATCATATAAGATGGATTTACACTAACCATATTTAACATTATTCCACATAGATAATAATTTCGTTTTGACTTTGCTATCAACTTCTGTGGCAACATTGGAATCATCCATAGGTAATCCATTGTTTGTACCAGTTAATTGTATGTTTGGAACACGATCTGTAGTAATCATTCCAGAAAAAAGACCTATTGTACTGTTACTAAAACCTCCTAAGAATAAAGTGATCTTTGATATATTATTGTTTTATCTAAATTTTTAAAAGCATTTTTTTTTCTAACAGATTACGAAGAAGTATTTATTATTTATTATCGCGAATAAAAAAATATAAAAAACTGTTAAGTATGACTAATAGAAACGAATCATCAGTTTCTCGCAACCATAAACGGTAAAGAAAAGAAGCGATTACTAGGAATTTTTTGTACTTGATTGATTTAGATATTTAAATCGAACTTACCTAACCTCTCCCTGGAAGGTTGCACCTGTCCATTCATGCCCAATAAATAAATTTTAGAAAGCATGTACTCCAAAACATTTAAATATTGACAATTAAATACAAGAAAGTAATCACATTTTTGTACGCGCACAATTATAGTTACGCTGACATCACATTCGAACGTAATTTTATTGTATTGCATACGAACAACTGGTTATTATTGTCACAGAATAATCTAACACGATTATGCATTAGTCGATGCATGAACCGAATTCAACATTAGGCCCATTACCAGCTTACTATCAAGTTAACGCTCCATTTCGTCCAAATGAAATATCAGCTTTGTAAAACACTCTACAAGAATAATTTGTTTCGTGAAAGATTCGAGTCAACTCGAGAATAAATGAAACAAATAACACGCAAAGTAAACGATCAAAAATAGTTTAAAGACATGCAAGCCGTCAACGGAAAAAGACGCGTGTTTACAAAGAGCGTTGTGAAATTTAAAGCGCCCGTTGAGCACCCCAGTAGCGCCGTTCGGCGGCGAAATCAAACATGAAAGTGCACATACAAGTGCATCAGTACTTATGCAAGGATTGCACTGAGTGGATCTGATTTCGAAATTGATATCTTATCAAAAAAATACACATATGAATAATCATTTGAATCATTTGAATAAATAATATAAAAACTAATCTTTCTTTTTTTATCGATATCGATACATGCGATAATTATCATAATAAATTTTTATAAATCAGAAAAAGATGTTAAAATTAGTTATTTTTTTAAAATAAATCTTTAATCGATTAATATACAATTGATTATTTTACTATTAATATTTATAATTTATCATCGCTTTATGTTCAATTATTTTATATTACGGTAGTTAAAATATATTAGCTCGTTCTTAAAAATGAATTGCCATTTCGTTAATTAATATCTCCTTTTTCAAGAAGTTAACAAACGTATCGCTTTTATTCGAAATTAAAAAAATCCTACGACAAAGGTATGGATCGTTTCATTGGATAGAAACCTGATAAAAATCAGAGTGCTCTATTTAATTTATTCAAATTATTAATTAAAAGTTCGTTTCTTTTAAAATTTTCTTTTCGTTATTATTATAACGAATAAGGATTTGGAAAATAAAAAAAAAAAAAAGAGAAAACAAAAAGAAAGAAAAAAAATGTAATATCGTTATTACACGAAGAATCTCACAATTTTTCTCGATACGTTCTTTTTCACACTTTTTGAATTCTAATTGATTAACGATAGAAATGGAACGAAAAAAAATGTTCAAACCACCAAAAGAATAGGATTAATGGAGAAATAACAGAGCGCAACATTATGCCTTTTCATCGCAGTGTAATAATGCTTTTAGGACTTTTGTTAGGAAGGACCAACGGCGAGGAATAGAGAGAAAATTGGGTGAAAAAAGAAAGCAAGCAGGACGGAAGGAAGGGAAGAAGGATGCTCTAGAATGAAAAAGGAGGGAGTATAAGGTTCGAAGGAAGAGATAGAAGCGATCGCGTGCATGACAGAGATAGATATAGGAGGAAACTGTCATGCGCGTCTTGTCGCGGAATAACCAATGAGATACGCGTATCCCAGCTTACCTCATTGATTACCACGTTCGCGCTCGTTCTAAATTTCACATTATGTTGTCGCGCAACCGTTGCAAAAATATGAATCGGTGCCTCGTGCCGGGCATCGGTACCCAGTAGAAGCAAGATTGATGGAAGGAAATGGAACGGTGTCTGTCATGACAATAATCTTTCGTTTCGGTGTTGTATTAACAATAGTTTCTAGCAGGTATATTGAAAGCTTCGGGGCAAATCTTCATAAAAGGGAGGGAAGGAAAGGAGGGATAGTTCCACGGTAATTCGAAGAGTGGAGGTGAGACGAAAGGATGAGAATGTGCCTCGCTGTACTTAACATATGCATACTTAACATTGCATATATATGTATATGTATATATGCATATATAAGAATACATATGTGTATATATACATGTATATATGTCATCAATAAAAGCCAAAGCAACGCTGGAAAATCAACAAAAGAACATATATAGCGGAGATAATTATTTGCATTATAACTTGTTCTTGTTTAGATAACTCGCGAGGAAGGATGACAGAAGATCAAGAAGAGATGGGTAGGGGGTGTTGGTAGCGAGACGGAAATTAGGTCATGCAAGAATATCGACGGACCGACGTAATCACGGTGCACAACTTGAATAAGGACATTAACGAGTCACGCTTCACTCCCTTAAGATCCTTTCCGCCACAGTATCGGACAAACTGTAGTGAATAGAGAGGAGGACGACAGTTTGGAGGAGTCACGGTCGTTTACTAGCGATCGATCCGCCATCTTGTGGCGTATCGATCGAACCCGAGGATCGACGGAAGGAAAGTCGATACTCGAAACATGGTACCGATTCGAGGTGGAAATTGCTCGATCGATATTAATGCTCATCGATGAAGATCATCGATAATTCTCTTTGGGAACAGAGAGACTCATTAATCAGGACTATATATCTGTCTCAAAGACGAATATGCACTGGATACGTTGAAATGTGTAAACACGATATTATTAGTTCGGATTGGAATGGATAGATCGATTTTCCATTATGGAATCTCTATGATTCGACTCGGTGGCTTTCGATCTGTGTCTCTAATTATTCGAGAGATTTATTCTGTTCGAAATATTTTTGAGAACAAATATTGTTTATGTTTTGCATCGTCGAATACAAACATCAAAGAAATTCGAAAATACGGCCAAAATGTTGGAACAACCTCACATGTACGATTAATGCAAGCTTTCATTATTCTTGATGAGTAGAAAACTGAAAATTACTGCCTAGCGAATGGCCACGAGCAAAGTAGAGAAAAAGGCGAGAAAAGAAAATAAATCGTTCGCGAAATACGTGATTCTAGCGATCACGAAGGAGCCGCTGATGTGTACGAATTATTGCACGGTAAGTTAAAACAAATTGGTGAAATTCGTCGTTCGAGTCGATTGATTAATATCCTGACGCAACTGTTTATGGGCGCGCATTCAAAAGACGGAGTGAAAAACTGCTCTCGCGTAAAGAGACCGTGAAAGATTGGTAAAGTTTGCGGAAACGAGGCAGGCGAAACGAAATTCTGCGAATTTGTTCCGCAAAAATGAAAATCTAATATCGATCGTAGAACTGTAGATACATATATATATCTTCGAGATAAAATAACGTTATCAAATTATTCTAAATTCCAATAAAATATTAGTAACGTAACAATGAATATAATAATCCTCTTATCTTTATACTTTAGTCTACCTAACCTCACTTCCAAAATTCCAACATTTTTTACGCGAAAAATCTGTTTTGCTTCTCGCAAGAATACTATTATTTCTCTTGCTGCCCCGTGTCTCTTCCCCTCGCTTCGAATCTAATAATAATTTCGTTGCTAATCTTCGCATCGTTTAAGAAGATTGCAACGAAATCCCATCGCAGAAACTGGATAGGCGGAATATCCGGCGAATTAATCCGACTCGGTCGAAGGATTTCGTTTTTAATTAAATCGTATCGTGATCATTATCGTTGTTGTCGCAACTTTTTAACGTTGCGTGTATTTTTGTGCCGCATTTAAAGATATTATTATTGCTCTTTCAGCGCAATTTATCCAGGGACAAGGGTAAATTCTGTGCAGGCGACACGACGTTTTTCTCGACGACGTATGACGTGCAACACGGGTGTTTAAACGGGCCGGAAGGCACGAGCGAGGACGGAATCGTATATAACCGTTTTTGTCCTCCCATCTTAAAAAACGTGCAAACAGCATCGATTCGTTACCTTCGCTCTTCCATCGTTTCAAATCGCGATCAATGAACAATCGGAACAAACGTGGTAAACGGATTCTTTGAAGAAGAAAAAGAAGGAAAAGATTTGTCTCCATTTCTGTCTAATGCTCCTTCACGAAAAGTGGCCATTTCCACGCGATTCGATCCATTCGATTTCGCGAGTACCTCGCTCGTCGTCGATCCAAGCACGTGAGAAGATTTTGCACCGTTTGATATACCAACTGTCTGAATTTCCGAAAGACCATCGCTCTTTCTTCACCACTTTTTTCTCGCGGCACGAAGGATCGCGTGGTGTTTGTTGGTAAAAATAACTCGGTCACCCGTTCGAACACGGATCGGATTCGTCAGTTCGCAATTTTCACGACACGCGGACCGATTCTTTTTTTAAAATTTCCACCACGATCAAATTCTCCAATTCCTCTATCTAGATCCCCCTCTATGGTCGCGATCCAATTCTTCTGAACACGACACACTGTTACTATAATATTTCCAGGCTCACGTGACGCGGCCGTGTCACCGACGACGATCGCGGCCAGTTAACACGCCCGTCCAAACACCGTTCGAATTTCCCGAATCAATTATGATCCGTTTTCAAAATAGACCTCCCGCCCCCCTCCCTTCTCCTTCTTTTTTTCTTCTTCCTTTCTTCCTTCGATAATCAAATCAACCTGTTTCACTCGTACTCGAATATATCGCTCCGAGATAATCATATCTATATTTTCGATTCGAAAGAGGGGGGAAGGGAGGCAGGAGGGAAAGGAAACTCGACGGAATCGACGTTTAATTCCGATTCCTCTTCTTCCACAGAAGAGAAAAGAAGAGAGTAGAAGGTGTCACGCGAAAAAATCGAAAAGTTGGCGGGAGATTCTTGATGATCGCTGGCAGGAGAAGGAGGAGGAGCGGGGGGAGGGGAGATCCAGCGAGAAACGGTAATAGCGGCTCGGCTCGACTCGGGCGGGAGGGGGAGGAGGTGAGAGCGGGGAGGAGGGGAGGGGGGAGGGCGGCAGAGAAGCGAGGGTGGGAAAGACGGAGCGCGCGCGCGAAAAGAGGAAGAGGAGGAAGGCGGTGGAAAGGAGATACGGGGAGCAAAGCGGCGAGAGGGTGGTTGGGCCGGCCGGCCAGTAGTGCTGTGGCGGCAATCGCGGACGCGTAGTCCGCTTCTCGCGCTCTCGCCCCCCGACGTCATGTTGCCAAACAACCCCCGTCGAGCATCATCCCCTTTCGACACGACTATCCGGACGAGTTAGTCAGTCTCAACTACGGGGGGAGACGAGAGGAGAGATCGGCTCTCGGAGCCAAGGACACTGGATCATCCTCCACCCGCCTAATATCAGCTGGTACACCCATTCATACATATATACATACATATATATATATATATATATATATTAGTGTAATCGAGTCAGTGGGATCGTCCCGCCGCCGCTTTCTCCCTCCCTCCCTCCCTCCCTCCTCGTTTCTTCCTCGTTCGGTTGACGGTCCAGGATCGAGGGGGAGCGAGTGTGGTGCGTAAACAAAGCACCTGGTGTGGTCCTCGAGTGTGACAGATCTTTGGGATCCAGGCTGGTGGTGTGCATATCGGGGTACACGTGCGAGGGGTGGTCGGTGAATCGATCACCGGGGTGGGGGGGGGGCAAGTGCGAGGGGAAGAGTAGATCGACTGGAGGATCTCGATCAACGTCGTGGATCCTCCCCAGGGATATATATTCGAGGATCGTCCTGAATGGTGGTAAGTAGCAGAGGGGGGAGGAGCTCCCCTCCCTCCTACTCTCTCTCTCTCTCTCTCTCTCTCTCTCTCTCTCTCTCTCTCTCTCTCTCTCTCTGCGGAAGATAAAGAAAAGAAAAGATCATCTTGCATTAAAGGCAAGATATTTGGATCGTATATCGCTCGACGATGAGAGAGAACCTTCTCCCTCGACGATCTATGGATCCTGCCCTACGATTTTCCTCAACTTTTTCCACGAGTCGGATCGAGAGTCGAGGAAAGAAGGGGAGGAGGGAGGGGGAGAAGAACGAGGGAATTGTTGCATGCGATTCTGATTCCCCCTCTCCCCCTCCTATTCATCCATCCCCAAACCAATTCGACGCCGATTTAGGGGCGGTAAACAGGACGTCGGGTCCTCCTGTCCCGCCAGGAATGTATTATCGATTCGATACGCACGCGATATTTGCACGCGGTGCTGGTATCCGGGGGCTGATTATTATTCGCCGACAGAGAGGCGAAAGCGGAGGAGGATCCCGGGCGTTTTCCGTGAATGAATGGAGAGAGAGAGAGAGAGAGAGAGAGAGAGAGAGAGAGAGAGAGAGAGAGAGAGAGA